GGATGCCTCTTATCAATTTCAACCTGTATCATTATCTACATGCAAACTTTTGGTTTCTGTATTATTTTCTTGTTGTTTATTTACGAGACAATAATGGAGACCACTTTCTACAGTGTAACTGCAGGCTATTCTGCTGTTGGAATGCACCACTCAATAAGTTTGCTTGCTTGAGTAGGAGACAGATTAAAGAGTGATATTTTGACAGTTACATGTACACTGAATATGGAATTATGAACATATTTTTTCTTGATGATTTGTTAATTCAAGTCTGCTTCAACTTCAGAAATAAAATTAGACATCATGGTTAGTGTTCTTTTTCCCTCAAATAAATATATAGTGAACAAACAAACTTGTAAACAAATGAAATCTTCATAAAAAAGAATAAATATGTAGTAAGGTTTTTATGACTGTAGGGTTTCCTGTTTTCAGGTGGAACTGAGGCTGGTGCCTGGGGATATACTGTCCTTTAACAACAGAACAATTTTACATGCCAGGAAATCTTTTGCACTTAACGGAGGGGAGCGCAAACTCCAGGTAAACAGCAGTTTTACGAGGGCGTTATAACATGTTTAAAACCATTATCATAATACCGACAGTTAAAAAGTTGAAGGTTAATTTTCAAATGAAGAGATATATATGTGATGATAATGTTGTTGTGACTATGCTTCAAATTCACTTCTGTTAACTTGACAATTTGTTTACATAGATGTGATGATAATGTTGTTGTGAATATGCTTCAAGTTCTGTAAACTTGACAATTTGTTTAATGTGTAAAAGTTGATTCTGTTCTGTACTGCAGGGTTGTTATCTCAACATTGACGAGTACAAATCCAAATTGGCTGTTCTCACCCATCGCCAAGGCGATGCACAAGCTGTGAAGCATGTTGGGAATCAATGCTGGTTCTAGATGAGGCTGCTGATGCATGATGGCAATCAGTACCGTTTCTGTATGAGGTCCCTGGAACATTACAAACCCGATATAAGCTGTGCGCCGACTTGTTCTGTATGAGTTCCCAGAAATATAACATAAAACTAACCTAGTTCTGGGCATCAAACCCGGTGTAGGCTGTGAGCCGACTTGTTCTGTATGAGGTCCCTGGGATATTACATAAAACTAACCTAGTCCTAGGTATCAAACCTTGTGTAGGCTGTGAGCCGACTTGTTCTGTATGAGGTCCCTGGGATATTACATAAAACTTATCTAGTTCTGGGTATCAAACCTGGTGTAAGCTAAGAGACGACGTGTTCTGTATGAGGTCCCTGGGATATTACATAAAACTTACCTAGTCCTAGGTATCAAACCCCGGTGTAAGCTGTGAGCCGACTTGTTCTGTATGAGGTCCC